CATAAAATGCGGTGTGTTACATAGTTAAAATACACTCGCGAGCAAAAGTATGGAATCACTTACATGAAGTTGTTTCCACGCGATCTTGTGTACTAACGAATTTGTTAGTAACAAAAAAGTTACATCATTTTAAAGATTAAACTTTTAACTTTTAATTCATTCAAATCACACCAGTATTTAAAAAGATATCCCGGCTGATGTGAAGAAGTAAGGAAAAAGACATGTATCAACTGTTTGATACGTCGCGAGTTGCGGCCTATTTACCCCCTATAAAAGCACGTGTTTTCGGATTTTTGCTTTCACACGTTGATCCATATGTCATAGTCAAAGGTCGATATGCAGTCTCTTCGCGGAATGACTGGTCTATCCTAGGTTTGACCAAGGCCTTCAGGCAAACCCCGAAGTAAATTCTTATTTCGGCCTTTGACTAAGTCAAACCTAGAAGTGCCTAAACGGTTCAGTCAAACGTCCAAACTAAAATAATCTGTTTCGGGCTTTGCCTAGTCAATCCTAGAAACGACTCACAGACTCGGTCAAAAGTAGACGGCATATAGAAAACCAGCCATGTGTGAGTCGGATTCGCTCACGAAGGGTTCCGTGCGACTCTTTTGTTGTATGGGAGCCCTCTTAAATATTTATTTCATTTTAATTTTATGATTTATTTTTAAAATGCAACTAAAATTATGTGAATATTTCAAGGGTTCACCTGTTTACGTTTTAATTAATATCAAGTAAAAAACTGCAACGAGTCACGTTTGCTGTATGGGAGCCCCCCTTAAATATTTAAGTATTTTATTAAATTATTTATTTTTTAAGTGAATGATTCATGAGATACGAGCCTGGTGACAGACAACATTTAGCGAAGTCATAATAATAGGGTCTAAACTCTTTATCCTTTAAGGTAACAGAACCCTAAAAATTAGTAATTAATCAAGATCGATCTAGAAACACTGACAACCAACCTTAGTTTAGTTACTCGTACCTTCACCTAAAGAGATAGCTGCGCGTGCGCGTGAAAACCGACCGTCGTAACGCCTATGCAATAAGTTCGAGATCAGAATTAAGTATAGTTTAGTTTAAAGTCTTAATTGAGGTTTGACTAGTCAAACCCCGATTTCATTAAATTGAGTTTCGACCTTTGCCTGACCAAATTAGTTACTCCTAGGTTTGACTAACATTATTTAGTCAAAGGCCGAAATGTTTGGGCTTTGGCTAAGACTTCTAGTCAGACCTGAGGATTGACTAGTCAAACCTAGGAGTGCCGGAACTTCGAGGTTTGACTATAACAAGTGAATGATTCATGAGATACGAGCCTGGTGACAGACAACATTTAGCGAAGTCATAATAATAGGGTCTAAACTCTTTATCCTTTAAGGTAACAGAACCCTAAAAATTAGTAATTAATCAAGATCGATCTAGAAACACTGACAACCAACCTTAGTTTAGTTACTCGTACCTTCACCTAAAGAGATAGCTGCGCGTGCGCGTGAAAACCGACCGTCGTAACGCCTATGCAATAAGTTCGAGATCAGAATTAAGTATAGTTTAGTTTAAAGTCTTAATTGAGGTTTGACTAGTCAAACCCCGATTTCATTAAATTGAGTTTCGACCTTTGCCTGACCAAATTAGTTACTCCTAGGTTTGACTAACATTATTTAGTCAAAGGCCGAAATGTTTGGGCTTTGGCTAAGACTTCTAGTCAGAACTGAGGATTGACTAGTCAAACCTAGGAGTGCCGGAACTTCGAGGTTTGACTATAACACATACACATCTCCGCTTCTTTTGACACTTTACCTGAGATTCTACACCTTCAGAAGCAGCACAAATTGTTGCACTATTGCAAGAAGGGCTCAGCCAGCGGACTGTCGCACGTTAGTTCCACATAAGCCAGTCCTGGGTTTCGAAAGTTTTAAGACGCTTTTGGGAGACTGGTGGCTTTATCCCGAGACCAAGATCTGAACAGCGCCGGTGCACATCGCAGAGGGATGACCGTTTTTTCATGTCAACCTCTCTATGAAATCGTCACTTGACTGGTATCGACGTCCAGCAACAGCTCAGAAATGTTCGTAGGATAGCTGTTAGCAAGTGGACAGTTTGTCTTAGATATAAGCAATCTGGGGGCACGGCAGTGCCCCCACCAAGTCGAGCAAAAAAGCGGCACGGCCGTACCATCCTTTTCTCGAAGCAATTCAGGCCATTTTCGACCGCCTGTAACTTCGTTGTGGATAAAACTAGAAGGCTGAATTTTCATTAGCTATGCAGGCATTGTAAAGACACGGTATATTTAAAATTTCATTCAATTTGAACCAGTAGTTTAAGAATTATAACGGGTCAAAGTTACTTAATTTTGTCACTCACTGACTCACTCACTGACTCACTCACTGACTCACCGATCATCAAAACTCTAAGGCACTTCTAGCAGACCTAGAAGCTTCAAATTTGGAATATAAGTAGTGTTTGGTGTATGAATCAAGGAAAAACTAAAATATTTGGGGGCACGGTAGTGCAACCGCCAAGTCGAGTAAAATTTTTCAATTTCGGTCCAGTTTTCTAGATACATAACTGCTGTCTACAAAATACAAAAAGAAATGAGATCCCATCAAAAACAATACTTGTCAAAAAAACCAAGTCTCGCAACTCAGTTGTTCTACGGTAAAAAGTTGTGAGATCCATGTAATACCAAGTCCAGGCCAGGAAATCTTTAACGTTTTACATAAATACAGTGTGAGTCACGTTAAAGTGTACATATGAAAATAGATGAAACTAGACCTATTTTTATCGACAAAAAAGAGGTCAAAAATTTTTTGAGATTTTTTTTAATTTTTTTATAGAATTTTTTTTTCTTACAATTACTTATTGTAAAGAAAACGTAATAACTTTTAAACTAAGCGGTATATCCTGATAAAATAAAAACAGTAATAATGCTAAATAACAGGCGATACTGAAAAAATACATAAAATACCCAGAAAATGCCAACAAATAATAAAAAATTATACTTTTTGAAAAAAACTGGTGTATGGATCAACGTGTGAAAGCAAAAATTCGAAAACACGTGCTTTTATAGGGGGTAAATAGGCCGCAACTCGCGACGTATCAAACAGATGTCTTTTTCCTTACTTCTTCACATCAGCCGGGATATATTTTTAAATTTTGGTGTGATTTAAATGAATTTGGTATCAATTTGAAGTTAAACGTTTAATCTTTAAAATGGTGTCACTATTTTTGTTACTAACAAATTCGTTAGTACACAAGTTCGCGTGGAAACAACTTCATGTAAGTGATTCCATACTTTTGCTCGCGAGTGTACATAAGACTTTAGTAGTAAATAGGACATAGCGTGGCCAGGCCCCCCACTAGGTGGACCGACGATCTGGTGAAGGTCGCGGGAAGAGCCTTAATGCTGGTAGCACGGGACCGGTCGTTATGGAAATTCTTGGGGGAGGCCATTGTCCAACAGTGCACGTCATTTGGCTGAACGAACAAACAAAAATAAAAACATTACATTAATAGGTACGAGTAGAAGATACAAATACAAAATACCTAAGATACAGTACTAATTAATTAGCCTTGTACTCATAAATAAAATGAAAAAGTGAAAGAAAACGATAACATAGTATATACATACCCAGCTGATTCTGATTCCAGACATGTGTCGTCAACAGTTTCTTCTTTTCTCCCCAAGTCCTGTAATTTAAGCTAATTGTATTCAGATGCCTAATGTAGGTACATGAAGTGCCTAATATAACAGGTATTTATCTACAAGGGCCGCGGATGAGGTTATTTAGCAAGTCATAAAATGCAACTATTGGAGGTCTACCTATTTTTAACCGACTTCAACAAACGAGGAGGTTCTGGATTCGGTTGGTATTTTTTTTAAACATAGGTACATAACATATGTAATGTATCTCAAAAACTCCACTTCAATAATCGACCGCCATACCTGTTGTGCAACTGAGACATCTCTATTGATTGCAGCATTATTATTTATTGATACGTCCACACTATCCGTAGAAATCGAACCCTGAAATGTGTTGGCATATCTATTAATTACCAAAGTAACGCACCATGTTTATTTTTAACAGTAGGTGATAAAATGATCTAAAGTACCTGTTGCTCTAAGACATCAATAGCTTCCGCAGCGGCCGCAAGGAGCTCCTGCTTATCTGATAGTTGCCTTCTGAGTTCTTCCACTTCTACTTGTAGTCTTACATTATGCTCCAATAAGCCCTGTAGCAAAATAATGATGATGATGTTTCATAAAAGATAAAAAAAACTATCAATTTTTATTAATGTAGTGAATAATGTATCATTAGCATGTGTTGAATAATATATTTTTACTTACCTGCACTGCCGGAGGTGATCCACTACCCAACTTTTCTTCTAGGAAGTAGATTCTTAACTTTAAATGGAAGTTTTCTTTGCGCAAACCGTTAAGCTGTTCTTCGTACTGCTTCATACTTATACCACTTGCATTAGTCAAATCTGCAACAGTAATTATAAAAATATTTTTCATTTTTAATTTTAAGTATTTTAATATTTTTTCGGTAAAAATATTAATGTTTTGTTTTACAAACCATGCCCTTCGGGTGCTGGTAGCGACATTTCTTGAAGTTTCCGTGGACTGGTGCTGTGGAGAAAAATAAAGTCAAATATTATCAAAATATTAAATGAGAACTCATCTTGCTTCGCGGTTACAGTCCGCTCAAAGGCGCGTTCCTTGAGCTCTGCATCAAGCTCCGCATGAACAACATTTACACTTTACGGGACTATTCCCACCTCTCGTTCCCACCACTGCAACTCCTGTGTAGCCAGGATCTACAGCTTGACCGCCACAAAAACCCAACCAATGAAGGTCAAGTTTGTCCCGGGGGAAAGTTAAACTGTCATTGGACCCGCAACGAAACGCGATTAATTAGGCAATATTAAAGTTTAATTATAGCAATAATTCTTGTATTTGTCTTTTTAAAAATTCACAAGTGGACCATAATCATTAAATAACAAAACCAGTAACTTTAATAAACGTAAAAGTACGAACTTCATTCGTGGATAATAATATCTATTCATTCACAGCAATGAATGCCAGCGATTTGAAGATAATAGCCGAGGAACTGCTTAGTTTAGGAGATATGTAGTTAATTTTGTAATATTTTAAAATTCTATGACCTAGTAGGCTTTAAATTTTTTTATCTTTTTTCTGGGTTGACTTTTCTCAGATTTCTTTTTTTTTATAGATACGTTATTAATTGCAATCACTTTTCTATCTTTGATGCAAGTTACAAATTTTTTGCTAGTAACTAACATAAAAAATATGCTTTTAGCAGAACACTATCAAATTTTCAACTTAAAATCTAAGTTGATCCAAGTCTGCCTGGCTAGCAACTCTATCTTCCTTAGTCTGTCACTATAACAATAATGTTAACAGCATTACTGTATTCCGGCATTTGGCGGTAGGAAGCCATAGTTCCTTTGTAGTTGAAGTTCCCTTCCACCTACTGCCTAATCATCAGTTTCCACCAGGTGTGATGAAGGGCAAGAACTTCCTCATTGAGAATAAAAACATGTTCTGTCCAGTTATTGTCTTGTATTGTGAATTGAAAGAATATGGACGACGACGTAGAAGCTATTTCAGCTGCTGCTATAGTGTGCTTATAATTATTATGTCAGTGTGTACCGCACGAAGGTAGTGAAAAAGTAAAGACAAAAAAGAAGGTGGTGGATGTGACAAAATAGAAGGTGGTGAATAACCGCTTCATTCTGGTAAAATTCCAAAAATTTGAATATATCGTCGTTTGTTGAGAGCGACATTAATTTCTTCGTGTAGCTACAACGGCCGCCAACCGCGTAATAAACACGGACAAACATGTGGACGCTATTGGCCGAGTGCGCGCGAGCGCCTTTGATTTGTGACGAAAATCCGACAACGTTCCGAAGTGCAGCAAGTGATCACGAGTGACAGCGAGTCGTGGCAAACGATGGCAAATGCGTCGTATACACGTTGGTGCTTGCCTCCCTTCGACCAACTAGGCGAGCGCCGCCGAGCAATGGCAAGGCAACGCAAATTTACTGTCTAGACGTTGGTATTGGCGTACACTCGTCAAGGCTCGGCCAACATGTACAGCAGGCTTAAGAAAGTCAAAAACATGTAACGGAATCTCCGACTTACCACTTTAGTGGATCTGTTATAGTCAAACCTCGAAGTTCCGGCACTCCTAGGTTNAGACAAAAAAACCGTACAAAAAAAATTTGTGCAAAATGTGCACTATTATTTGTAAGATATTTATTATTTCTTCAAAAATAATAATGAATAGTTAAACTAGTAATTTCATTATTTTAATACAGTATAACACCATGTAATATGTGACTATTTTTATATGAAACCAAAAATATCTGTCTCTTAATAATTCAAAATTAAAATTGAATACATTTATATTTTAAAGAAATATGTACATATTGATTTAACTGTATAGATAAACCATTTTTTAAGGATACTACAAATAGTTTTAACCATAATGTTCATGCCTGAAACTAAAAAATGTTACAAAATATATGCTGGGACAAAATTGACCCAGCGGCGCTTTTAGGGGGGTCGTAATCTTCGGCACTTCTAGTGTTAAAAGCACGGAAATTTTTCCTTGTCGCGACAAGATCGGTGTAATAAATTGCGGAAACAGATGTATGTTGTATTGAATTAAGCATTATATCACGTTCATGTTTCCAAAGATCACACTCCCACAAGATATGATGGGCAGACTGCTCATGACAGACATCATCAGTGGAACACTCGCAAAAAGGAGACGGAACTAGTTTGAATTCGTGAAGTTTATGTTTAAAGTTGCCATGTCCCGTGAGGAACTGCGACGAGCAATGGTCGATTTCTAACCATCGCCTAGTTAGACGTTCGCGTACATTCGGGAAGAATTTATATAAGTGACGTCCTTTGACTGACGTATCCCATCTTTTTTGCCATTCATTAAGTAATACTTAAATATTTAAGGGGGGCTCCCATACAGCAAACGTGACTTGTTGCAGTTTTTTACTTGATATTAATTAAAACGTAAACAGGTGAACCCTTGAAATATTCACATAATTTTAGTTGCATTTTAAAAATAAATCATAAAATTAAAATAAAATCAATATTTAAGGGGGAATACACAAAAAGAGTATACGAATACACGGAACCCTTCGTGAGCGAATCCGACTCACACATGGCTGGTTTTCTATTTGCCGTCTACTTTTGACCGAGTCTGTCAGTCGTTTCTAGGATTGACTAGGCAAAGCCCGAAACAGATTATTTTAGTTTCGACGTTTGACTGAACCGTTTAGGCCACAGACTATATCTGTGGTTTAGGCACTTCTAGGTTTGACTTAGTCAAAGGCCGAAATAAGAATTTACTTCGGGGTTTGCCTGTAGGCCTTGGTCAAACCTAGGATAGACCAGTCATTCCGCGAAGAGACTGCATATCGACCTTTGACTATGACAGATCGATTACAGGAAATAGTGGCCCATTAAGTACATGTTTTTTTGTATTATTATGAATGTTCAGGAAACGGCGCAGTTTTTAAAATGATTTTGGACCTATGGAAGTTCTTTTTAGGGTTACGTAGCCAAATGGCAAAAAACGGAACCCTTATAGATTCGTCATGTCTGTCTGTCTGTCCGTATGTCACAGTCATTTTTTTCCGAAACTATAAGAGCTATACTGTTGAAACTTGGTAGGTAGATATATTCTGTGAACCGCATTAAGATTTTGATGCAAAAATAAAAAAATATTGGGGGCTCTGAAACTCAAATTTTTTTTTTTTCATCAAACACACACGTGTGGGGTATCTATGGTAGGTCTTCAAAAATGATATCGAGGTTTCTAAAATATTTTTTTCTAAACCGAATAGTTTGCGTGACAGACGCTTCCAAAGTGGGAAAAAGTTGGTACCCCCCCCCCCCTCTAACTTCTAAAATAAGAAAATTAAAAATCTAAAAAAGACATAAATGATGTAGGTACATTACTATAAAAACTACCAACGAAAATTTATTTGAACGAGATCTAGTAAGTAGTTTTTTTTAATACCTCGTAAATCGTTAACCGCTTATTACCGCGTAATCTTTCATACAAATAACTTAAATTAAAAAAATAATAATTTTAATTTCACAAATTTGAACCCTTTGTGCGTGAATCCGACACGCACTTGGCGGTTTTTTTTATTTAAACTTTTAAGTTGAAAAGATAGTGTTCTGCTAAAAGCATATTTTTTATGTTTCTAGCAAAAATTTTGTTTCTTGCATCAAAGATAGGAAGGTGATTATTTTTTTCAGACATCTGCAATTAATAACGAATCTGTCAAAAAAAAGAAATCTGAGAAAAGTCGCCCAAAAAAACTAGGCCCCCCCTGAAAAATTACCCTAGATACGCCAATGTACGACACCCACGAGAAGAGTGCTTTTGGATGACTAATACGACAAACTTAAATAGTTACCTACATTTTACTTATCGAATTTTTGTCATTTTGTTACCCTTTGTTCACAATTAATTAAATAAAATTAATACACGGATTCTTTCTTACCTAAACGGTGACGGTACACCACAGGCTGCATGCTTTGAACTATGCACTCGCGGCAGAGTTGCCATTTTGAACTCTATGATCACATCAACCAACACGACTGGACTGCACAGTACAACAACGCAGTTGAAATACTAACTTTATGAGAAGTATTTGAACTATAGTAACTTATCTATCTTGTAAACAAACACACTTTAATGAGTAATACGTCACTATTCCCACTATTTAGCATAATTTTAATGAACGTGAATAATCTATGCCCTTTATTTCGTTATAATTATTGTAATAATGCTTTTAAGCTAATTAGGGCTACTTGGATAAATGAGACACACACATTGCTAATCAAAACAAACAACATAATTTGGAAAGCAAGTTTTAAATGCAAGTTTATTATCCCGTGTTGTTATTCACGAGTCACACTGGGACTGACTGGGGGATTTGGAACAAACATCTTTCTGATATCGGGAGTTTTTGTAAGAGTTCTTAATGTAAGGACACAACGGTGGTTTTTGCTTGTCTTGTCGTGACGAGAAATAGGGATCGATGACAGAGAAAAATAGCTAGTTAGAAAGAGAAACATAGAGATCAGACGGATGCTGCTCGTGTACAACACACAGAAATAGAATTAGAGGCAGTGCCATTAGGAGCTCGTTGTTCCAAATTTTCGATTTATGCATTACTTCCTGCATTTGCTGTGTTACAAATAATTAATACGATAGATAATTTTGTGACAATTAATACCAAAATAATACAGAATTGGTTTAATTGGTAAAGTGGTATATCTCGTAACTATGTTTAGGTAGATGTGTCTTGTGTCAGTGTGTCTTGATAAAGTGCACATATGAAAATAGGTAAAACTAGACCTATTTTTATCGACAAAAAAGGTAAAAAAATATCCGAGATTTTTTTTTAAATAATAGATTTTTTTTCTTTCAATTAACTACCTACTTATTGTAAAGAAAACGTAATAACTTTTAAACTAAGAGGTAGGAAGGTATATCGTGATTAAATAAAAAACTGTAATAATGCTAAATAACAGGCGATACTAAATAAATACGTAAAATACCTACCCAAAAAATAGGCAACGAGTAATAAAAAAAAATTGAGAAAAATCTGCACTTTAATTCGTGTTTTTTTGGTTATTTGATAAATTTCCCTAATAATTCCCCCATAACAAGTGATTTTTATTACTTTGTGTTATTCTCTATCGTATTACCTTTGTAAAATCTAAAATCTCATGTCTCTATCTCTATCACAACATTTGCTATGATCGTTTGAACAAAGTCCTGCCACCACATTAGTCCACATTATTCTCCGCCTCAGGTGTCTACCGATTTTAATTAGAATAAATATCCTTGGACATTTTACACTGTGCGCCTCTAGTGCCAAACTAAGCAAAGCTTTTACTATGGGTACTAGATGACGGATATAAACATAAGTACTTAAATACTTTTTTTTTGTAAATACATACATGCATAATGGATAAGTTTCAAATTTTTTTCTTTTAAAAAATCTTGAAAATATAAGTAAAACTAATATAGCCCGACCAGCCCCCCTAGACAAAACGCACTTTTTGATCGAATCGAAAATCGAATCCGTCAAAACTCCATACAAAAAAGGAGTTTGACCGATTTTAGACGTTTGTCAAAGTTAAACTAAGATGGTGCAACCCACCCTAAGGCTAATTTGACAAATCCGTATCGCGATGTCGTTTTGACAGCCAGTTTGACAGCAAAGCATAGAAGTAAACAGAGAGCTGTGGGTTTAGTCAAAATGCCATCGCAAACCAATAGGACAGGGATGGCGAACCTTTATGTATCAACGTGCCACCTTTCTAAATATTTTTTGATGTAGTCATAGACGTGCCTTCAAAATAACACCCGATGTTATCAATGAGGTGTAGTATCGCACAAGTGACAGGACCTTACTCTACAGTGGCACTAATTGATGAGGGCAAATACGATAGCCCAAAATCTATTTTATTTTATAGTAAATTTTGTGATTGGTGGCGTGCCATCAATATTGTGGCGAGTGCCATCATTGGCACGCGTGCCATTGGTTCGCCATCCCTGCAATAGGAAGTTTTCGCTAATGTCAGTCGCCGCGTCACGAGTAATTCGATTCGATCGTAAAATGGCAGCCAAAATGCACATTGAACCACCAACGACGCGGCGATATAAAAGTTCATTCAAAATCGAATAAAAGTTAAAAAATGTCTATGACTGCGATTGTTCTTACTTTTTTTTAGCTTTTTTTTAATTAGTTTCTTCCTTCTTTCTGCTCTCTGTTTACGTCACAGATATGGATAGATGCAGCATGTGTCAAAAATTGTATGAAGCCACTTTTAGTGTCATTTTAGCGAATTTTAGTGATTGCCGCAACGTAAAAGTAATCGTATCATCGTACTGCATTTGCACAGTCATCGAATGATATCGTGTGACTCGATTCGAAAATTAATTAGGTAATTCCGATAAAACTAATAAATACAAAACCAAAAACATCTTTATTTACCTTTTTAAAATAAATTAATTCTTACAAATCGTCAAATCTCGTTATTTTTTTTTACCCTACCAGCGTTTCAAGACATTTTGTCAAGTGCATGAATACATGCATCAGTGAGTGTCTTATTGTTATGAGTAAGTACGGTTCCGTGGGATCGGTATGAGTGCACCAAATACAGGGACCATGGTTTTAACTCTTAAGAGTACATCGCAGGATATGTATTAAAAACAATGCTACTTTATACTTCTTCTACTGCTACTTTAATCTAATTAATTATTTGTTACTTGTGCTGTTAATTACAATTCTCAATCCGTAAATAATTTCTCTTTCTACCGTGTTCGTACTACTGTCCTCATAAAATCATCGTAACCGATTGTTGTAATCGGATTACATGAACACAGGGCCGGATCTACCTATGGGCTGATTGGGCTGCAGCCCAGGGCCCCGGGGTTACAAGGGGCCCCCAGATCCCGCTAAAAAGTAGGTAGGCAATAATTTGAAAAAAAAAAAAAGTCTGTAAAGTCGGTTTACGGACCAGTCAGTTGAGTACTAAGATAGGCCCCCAAGTAGTTTCAGCCCAGGGCCCCACAAATTCACGATCCGGCCCTGCATGAACATCACTCGACCATGTATGTCCATTTGGACATATCGGAATGACACGCTTTGACGATCAACTTGCTGTATCTACTCTAATCCATATCTGTGGGTCTAGTCAGAATGCCATCGCAAACCAATGTGAAGTTTTCACTAATGTCAGTCGCCGCGTCACCAGTGATTCGATTCGATCGGAAAATGGCAGCCAAAATGCACATTGAACCACCAACGACGCGGCGATATAAAAGTTCATTCAAAATCGAATAAAAGTTAAAAAATGTCTATGACTTTGCGATTGTTTTTACTTTTTCTAGCTTTTTTTTTTAAATTAGTTTCTTCCTTCTTTCTGCTCTCTGTTTACGTCTATGCTTCGCTGTCAAACTAGCTGTCAAAACGACATCGCGATACGGATTTGTCAAAACAGCCTTAGGGTGGGTTGCACCATCTTAGTTTAACTTTGACAAACGTCTTAAATCTGTCAAACTCCATACAAAAAACACCGGTTAACGTCATAGTTACGGTCACAGATATGGATTAGAGTAGATACAGCAAGTTGATCGTCAAAGCGTGCCATTCCGATATGTCCAAATGGACATACATGGTCGAGTGATGTTCATGTAATCCGATTACAACAATCGGTTACGATGATTTTACGAGAACAGTAGTACGAACACGGTAGAAAGAAGAAATTATTTACGGATTGAGAATTGTAATTAACAGCACAAGTAACAAATAATTAATTAGAATAGAGTAGCAGTAGAAGAAGTATAAAGTAGCATTGTTTTTAATACATATCCTGCGATGTACTCTTAAGAGTTAAAACCATGGTCCCTGTATGTGGTGCACTCATACCGATCCCCAAGGAACCGTACTTACACATAACAATAAGACACACACTGATCCATGTATTCATGCACTTGACAAATTTTTGTCTTGAAACGCTAGTAGGGTAAAAAAAAATAACGAGATTTAACGATTTGTAAGAATTAATTTATTTAAAAAGGTAAATAAAGATGTTTTTGGTTTTGTATTTAACAAATTATCAGTTTTATCGGAATTAATTAATTTTCGAATCGAGTCACACGATATCATTCGATGACTTTGCGAATGCAGTACGATGATACGATTACTTTTACGTTGCGGCAATCACTAAAATTCGCTAAAATGACACTAATGACGTTTAAAAAGTGGCACGCTCGGCTTCATACAATTTTTGACACATGCTGCATCTATCCATATCTGTGTTTGGAACATTGTGGTTGAAACTTGGACAGATGGCCTGACGTCACGGCACCGCCTATGTTTATGTACCACGCGAAAATATGGAGGTAATTTAAATAATTAATTTCTCAGCCATTTCTTGATGGATTTCAAAAATAACTTCACCGGCTTTTTAGTTTTCAACCTTAGATTATTAATCTAAGTTTTCAACCAACTTCAAAAAAGGAGGAGGTTCTCAATTCGACCCGTATTCGACAGACGCACAGTCTTTTAAAATCACTTGGAAGCGGACATTTTTTGGTGAATAGATGACATGATTTAACAAGTAAATCTAAGTAAATTCCTAAAAGAAACCCGTGGTCTATCTTCAACAGATTTCGAGAAAAAAAATTTTTAATTAGGCTTTTTTTGGGTATCCTTCCGTTTG